TAACTGATTAGTTTTGACACCATGTTTTAACAGGCTATCGAATTATTTTATAAATAATCTTTACGGATAACAATTTTAACACATGGGAATAGATTAATCATTAGCAACATTCAAGGTGTATAAAAGACGTTTTTTTCTGCATAATATTTTTAATATCAATGAAATAAATTAGTTTCATAGTTAGAAGACATCAAATTTTTCCAATAGACGAACGAGTTAAAAAAACTTAATTTTATTTAAAAGCTAAAAGTATGAAAAACAACTTTAGACATATCAATGAAATTTAAAGAAGGAATATTTATCGACCGCGAGGAATATTATAATCTTTACCTTTCTAGTTGATACGATAGAATTGTCGTGTTAGAAATAAATTTTCCTCGCTATACATATAAAACATAAAAATCTGTATTTGCATAAAAATATTTTATAAAAACTATGACTTCTAGAACGTAAAGAAAGTAATTCTAGTGAAATACAATGCATGTCATGCGAAATAAAATTTCTAAATTTGATTTTTATGCAAACAGATCAGTGAAAAGACAATAGTAAATCTTACTCTTGAAGCTTTTCGGAAGAAAGAAATGATGTCTTCGCCAATTGAAAAAAAAACTTTGAGTGAAACTGAATACTCATACATATAAATGCAAATATCCAAAGTCCGATTGCCACATGTTTGGCTTGATTGCGTAATAGAGTAACTCATTTTCACGTATATATGTACAACTTTTCAAATATACCAAGTGATAAATATTGCAAATAAAATATTGATGTGTGTTCCAATTCTCAATAATATATGTGAAATTTAGTTAAGTAAGTGATAAGTGGGAAGAGTAAATTTGTTGAAATAAATACATGCTCAATGATAAAGCTAACTTCATCAAAAACATAGCGAATCATAGCATCTTTGTCATAACAATTATCTTTTCATTTTTATTGAAACAGAGAATGGCGTAATTTTATTTATACATAATGTGTGTACATAAGTAGTAAAATAAGTAAAAGATGAAATTATGCAAGAATTTTATACTAAATAACGATTGTCCGTGTTATACAGTTCTTGGATAATTAGCGTGAAATAAATGTTCTCTTCAAATCAAATGGATTGTAATATAGGCAAATTTTTTAAAATCTTAGTAGGATTGACGACACGATTGGTAGCAAAAGACAAACGAAAATGTATTATCAATTAGTCGAATCTTTAAATATTTATATTTTTCGTTATTATTATTATTTTATGTTCCATTCTCTTCTGTACGGTTGTTGACGAATGTAAAAATGATATTATGTAATTAAGTATTCAATCTAAGATGCAAATGTATCTTATATATTAATATATATATATATACATACACACACACACACATATATATATATATATATAGATCAATCGATGTAAATAGATGTTCTTATGATTGTTATCATCTTCAAATACTGTGAAAATGATGTGACTAACTTGACTTTTTAAAAGAAAATCGAATGCTTTTATTGACTAATCCTAATGATGTTTCCTAGATTATAATATTTTTGTCAGCTATGATATTTAGAAATGATTAAAAGAAATTTTCTCAAAAATCAGCAGTGGTGGTTATTAACTTTATCACATATGTTATATCGTATACTTATTACTCACTCATATCCTCAGCAAATTCATAAAATTTTAAATTATAATTTAATGCATATGTATGCAACGTATCTTATAGCGCTAAATTTTTTTAATGGCCGTGAATCGGCTAAAGAAACTCAGCAGGAAGTTAACGAAAATCGACCAAAACAAATTATAGAAAAACTGCGCGTGGTTAGGAAAGATAGCAAAAGTTATTTATAACTCCACGCAATTTTATTTTCATTGATAAAAAAATTATCAAAGTTAATCACTAAAGAATAAGGATAATAGGAATTTCTATTAATACAGCTCTTATAATTTGAGAGTGTGCCTAATTACAATAATAAAAGTGTACAGATCTATGTTACCGACTGATCTGTTAGATATATATATATATATTGCGTTTCAATCTCTTGCGGGTACTACTATACCGGCGGTAACGCCGACCAGTTACCACGCGTTAGCGCGCCTCGATAACTCGAGTCACCACTAGATGGCGGTAGCCCTCTAAGGCACTTTGGGAGACTTAGGCTGGAGAATTCTTATACATTGCGCGCTTCGTCGCCTGTATGTATTTCTCCATGGTTTCTACCAGGGAGTAAGAGAGAAGGAGACCCCACTATGCGGCCGGCCAACAGAAATCTGGGACGTTTTCAAGGTCAAAAAAGTTAGCACCCAGAATCCTTTTTTTAAGCTAATCGATAAACTAATTATACCGTTAGATATTTCGTCAGGATAGCAACAACTTTTCTCTTTGTCATTTGTTGGTTCGTCCACTGGAAATCCTTAAAATTAATAAAATAAGTCTTAGGTGCTGGCCTTAGCACCCAAACCAAAGTTGCGGTCAAACTTAGAAAATATTAAGTAAAAAAAATTCGTAAGTAAACCGATCGTTAGTTCGTCTTACGAACTAACAGCACCCATAATAAAATCATGACTAATTTGATTATTTAAGCAACTAAAAATAAAAAACTGTTTCGAATATTGGCTCACGTTCAAACGCCAAAGCGCGGTACGCATGCTTCCTGAATTATCCCCGCCGGTGCGCGAATCCCCGCTCTTATTTTTTACTACACCTGTTTGATTTTAATACATCAGATCAAATCAAACTTTATAGTAACATTAGTAAACATTAGTAACTAGTACCTATTGTCCAATCAATGGGTAAATGGAATTTAAAAAAGTTACGCTTCGCGTATTAATTACTCAAGTATGTACTTTTTAAATTCCATTTACCCATTGATTGGACAATAGGTACTAGTTACTAATGTTTACTAATGTTACTATAAAGTTTGATTTGATCTGATGTATTAAAATCAAACAGGTGTAGTAAAAAATAAGAGGGGGGGTTCGCGTACCGGCGGGGATAATTCAGGAAGCATGCGTACCGCGCTTTGGCGTTTGAACGTGAGCTAATATTCGAAACAGTTTTTTATTTTTAGTTGCTTAAATAATCAAATTAGTCATGATTTTATTATGGGTGCTGTTAGTTCGTAAGACGAACTAACGATCGGTTTACTTGCGAATTTTTTTTACTTAATATTTTCTAAGTTTGACCGCAACTTTGGTTTGGGTGCTAAGGCCAGCACCCAAGACTTATTTTATTAATTTTAAGGATTTCCAGTGGACGAACCAACAAACGGCAAAGAGAAAAGTTGTTGCTATCCTGACGAAATATATAACGGTATAATTAGTTTATCGATTAGCTTAAAAAAAGGATTCTGGGTGCTAACTTTTTGGACCTAGGTTTCACCCACCGGCAAAGATCGCCAGGGGGCCTATTCTGAAAAAAAATTTTGTGGTAAATCAGTTTGTCACTTCAGTTTACCACAGAATTAATCACTTTAGATGTGATAAATGCTTATGACATGTGCTAAAATTTTTTTTCAGAATAGGCCCCGTGCTAAAATTTTTTTTCAGAATAGGCCCCCAGGCTCGCTCATCGGAATAGCTGACACTAGCTAGCGTCAGACCCCTCTAGCGAGCGCCATTCGTACTGCGTAGCAGGTTGATTTTATCTACCGTTCCCTGTCAACTGATATGCCACAACGTATATGATATTATATAGGATGCGAACCGGCAATCCTAACAATTCAAAGCAGAAACCTTAGCCTCTCGGCTAACGTGCTTATATCACTGTATAAATGTCAAAAGTTATATTTAAGTTGTCGAGAGGGGCCTGTGATTAAGTTTATGGTTATAGTATTTGGAGTTTGAGTCTCTTGATAGCTGACATCATTTATGTCAACTCAAATCATATCGTCATCATAATTAAGCACAGTTTTGAAGCATAATTTCATATACGTTGTTGCATGTTAGTTGACAGGGAACGGTAGATAAAATCAATCTACTACGCAGGTCGAATGGCGCTCGCTAAAGGGGTCTGACGCTAGCTAGTGTCAGCTATTCCGATGAGCGAGCCTGGCGATCTTTGCCGGTGAAAACGTCCCACTTCTCGTATATGGCGTTGGGTCTCCTTCTCTCTTACTCCCTGGTTTTGGGACAGGGGCCTTATTGTGATGTTGGTCATGCGCACTTGGACGTTGCGTAGTGTATTATGCGTCGATCTTGTCCGCCTAGTCACAAAACTAATTGATAGGTTATACATACATACATACATACATAATCACATCAAATACATACATACATACATACATACATATGTATTATACGTACATATGTATTATACAAACATATGAATTATAATACATTATATATATATATATATATATATATATATATATATATATATATATATATATATATATACACACACACACACACACACACACAGTATTTTCAATTTGTCTTCTTTTGATTTCGTTATTGGATAATTTATTTTCCATAGGGTCTGGGCGGCAAAATTGTGATAATTGGGTGCTTACTTCTCCAAGTGAAGGGCACTTGCCAATTTTACTTAGAACTTTTATGAACGATGCTAAAAAAAATCAAATATTAAATAACGCTTTTGTTTTTATTATTATTCCAGCAAAGTATTTTTATTCTTTAAATATTCGATTTTAAAAATATTTTTTTATTAATAGCTCAATTAGTCCAATCAATTACTTACGTTCTTACGTACAATGAATTTTTGTTTTTGATTGCCCTGCATTTTAAATTGATGTGATATCAACAAGTGAAACGTGGAACGAAGCCGAATCATTTAGCCGATGGATTGAAAACATACCTAGAAACGGTATGACTATAGAAAAAGAACTTTTTGATTGAATGGTCGGATTATCAGCACTGCAGAGTGCAGTGCCACTTAGGGAATGTCTACACGGGATCCGTCCTCGGATCCGTGGACGGATCCGTCCCCGTCCAAATTTTTATATTATTATAAAATTAAATTATATATTAAAATTTTTATAGGCACACGCTATCTTCATAACTTCAAGTTCAGTGGTGAGTTTCAAATTTGATGTGAGAAACGCATCTATACAGTTCTTATATCCGTGATTTTCAGCTCCAATTTTATTTAACGTGTAACGTAGTATAAGTTGGTGAGTTCGTCCTCTTTTTCATTATACTGTAATACCGTAAACCGTAATTATAATTAATTATTTATACTTTTTGCCTTATCAAATTGCAAAATACATAATAGGTAGACCAATAGAATTTATATGAACAAATACTATTTGATTTCGGGGAAGGTATATTGCAAGGTGTAGTCAAGTTTGCTGATTTTACAATTGAAAATAATTTTGGAAATACAGGCTCGAATGCAAAAGGCTGTAGATAATACAAAGCCTTCCTTAAGAATACAAAGATTTTATAGGGAAAAACAAGTGTGCGTTGAAAAAAATCATTTATAAAGACGAAAGATTTACAAATTATAACGTATGTTTATTTACAAAATTAGATTTGCATCTTCTATTAAATTTATTTTTGATGAAATTCTTGTAGATGATACATCAGGAAAATTACTTCCGAATAAATTGACTATACATAATTTGACTGATGATTGGCTAAAAGCTATTCAGGTGATTTGGAAAACTACCCACTTAAATGCAGAAAACAATTGTGATATAAAGTAATATTATTTTTATAACTATAAATTCATGATTTTTTATCAGATTGCAATAGCAAAGAATTTTTTTTTCTTTATCTGCAGTAAATCAATGTCGGATTGTTTTCAAGAAAGAGAAGAACTTTGATTGTGGCCAGCTCAGTTAAACATAATCAACGCTCCTCTGAGGTCACTAAGGGCATCGTTAAGAAATTTGTTATTTTCACAGATGTCTATTCTTATTACTTTAGACGATTTGATTCAGCAATGGCATTATGCTTGTTTATCAGACAGAAGTTTATGGGTTGAAGCCAAAGAAATTATTAGAAATGTTAGAAATGTTGTCCTCTTGTAAATTTTGATCTGTAATACAATAAAAATTATCAGATATAAGATATAAATATTGTAATTATTAATTGCAGCAACCTAATCCTGATTTATATCATTATTAAATGCACATTGAGATTAATTATTCATTTAGTTTTCCTTAACGTTAATTATTATGGATAATAGTTCAGTAGCATTACTAATAGTGAATGAAAAAAATTTATTTTTAATTTGATTTACTTTGTTTTTGTTGGCTCAGTAAATGAATCCTCCATTGAAAGGTCATATCCAGAAGGTAATTTTTTACATCCAAGTTCGTTTATAGCATTTCTAATTACAGCTACTTGATAACGCAATCAAAGTTCTTCTCTTTCTTGAAAACAATCCGACATTGATTTACTGCAGATAAAGAAAAAAAAATTCTTTGCTATTGCAATCTGATAAAAAATCATGAATTTATAGTTATAAAAATAATATTACTTTATATCACAATTGTTTTCTGCATTTAAGTGGGTAGTTTTCCAAATCACCTGAATAGCTTTTAGCCAATCATCAGTCAAATTATGTATAGTCAATTTATTCGGAAGTAATTTTCCTGATGTATCATCTACAAGAATTTCATCAAAAATAAATTTAATAGAAGATGCAAATCTAATTTTGTAAATAAACATACGTTATAATTTGTAAATCTTTCGTCTTTATAAATGATTTTTTTCAACGCACACTTGTTTTTCCCTATAAAATCTTTGTATTCTTAAGGAAGGCTTTGTATTATCTACAGCCTTTTGCATTTGAGCCTGTATTTCCAAAATTATTTTCAATTGTAAAATCAGCAAACTTGACTACACCTTGCAATATACCTTCCCCGAAATCAAATAGTATTTGTTCATATAAATTCTATTGGTCTACCTATTATGTATTTTGCAATTTGATAAGGCAAAAAGTATAAATAATTAATTATAATTACGGTTTACGGTATTACAGTATAATGAAAAAAAGAGGACGAACTCACCAACTTATACGTTACACGTTGAATAAAATTGGAGCTGTAAATCACGGATATAAGAACTGTATAGATGCGTTTCTCACATCAAATTTGAAACTCACCACTGAACTTGAAGTTATGAAGATGGCGTGTGCCTATAAAAATTTGGACGGGGACGGATCCGTCCACGGATCCGAGGACGGATCCCGTGTAGACACTCCCTTAGGGTCTGTCTCCATAGGGCCTGTCTGAGTCCATCCGAGCCGGCCGAGATTTTTTATGGGCACGCCATCTCTATAATTTCGTGTTCATGCGTTTCTCGTATTGGCTGCGTCCGATCGGGCTCGTTTATGTAAACGCAGCCATTCACTATGAAACTCGCCATTGGATACGAAATTATAGAGATGGCGTGCCCATAAAAAATCTCGGCCGGCTCGGACGGACTCAGGCAGGCCCTATGGAGACAGACCCTAAGGTTAAGTGTGGACTGGTTATGCGGCTGAGAGGGCGCTGCACCTCGAAAATCTTTTCAGTGTACGGCTAGTGTATAGTTATCGAAAGTAAATTTAATCGGTAATTTTTTGTTTCATGTTTTAAAAATAAAATAATAATAACAAAGTAAAAAAGAAACTTTAGTTATACTCTTAAATTTTTATTTCAGCTATGAATCAGCTACCAATGCACAATGCACTCAAACCACTTGGCTGGTTAGAAGGAATTTGGAGAACAGAGAATGTTGGTCTAGGTAAATTTCCTACAATCAATCCATTCAAATATTATGAGGAAATTACATTCACATCAATTGGTCAACCAATGTTGAACTATGCTGCTCAAAGTTGGCATCCTGAAAAGAAGGCACCTATGCATAGAGAAGTGGGATTTCTTAAAATTATACCCAACACTAATACAGTATCATTTTTCATTGCTCATAATTTTGGATTAACTACCATTGAAGAAGGAGAAATTAATGATTATGTTGTAAATTTATTGAGCACAAGTATATCTAGAAAGGCTGAAGGATCAAAACCTCCAGCTGTTTTACAAGTGAGTATATTGCATTGTATGTGATACTATAATTTAATTTACTTGTATAAATCAAATGGTTACTGATATAATTTTTCAGCTCAAACGTGAATTTAAACTTGTAGATGACCTGTTGTATCAAACTGTTTACATGGCTACAGAAACTACTCCAGAACTAACAGAACATTTAAAAGTAGTTTACAAAAAACAGCAGGAATCTTTGTGTAAATAGAGAATGTAATTCACGTGTAAATATATATTTGTATGTTTTTTACATTATAAAAAAATGTGATTGATGTAGTTGGTAATAAAAAATGATGAAATTATTCATATTTATAATTGTGATTGATTTTGTTATAAAAATTACGAATATTGTACACAAGTGGTACAAAAATAACATATTGCCCTTATTATTCTGTATTAATGACTGAATAAAATAGATATTATCAACATTAGACATTAATAATTTATAAGTTTATTACTTACACAAAATTATACATTAATTTATTAAGAAAATAAAAGAGTTAGAAAAGTAGAAAAGTATGACTCTTGAACAAGGATATTTTATACTATGAAACAAAAATTTAAAAACTCATAGATTTAGAAAAGAAATATTAAATTTATTAATTATTTCCATCTACTGTATGAAAAAGAATTAATATAAACTAATAAGTTACAATATAAATTAAATTAAAAAAGAAGATATTTATTATAAGAATGAATTTCACTGTACATGTAAATATTTTATGTTAAAGAATACAGTTTCTAAGTATTATTTATCAATATATGTATAATGCAATTTCGAATTATAAATAGATGTAAATATAGTCACAGGTTTATCTAGAAAAATTCAAAATAATATCAAATTTTTATATCAGCTATATATTAAATATTGATCTTACTGTAACAAATGTGCATTCATATTACCCGCGATATTACAGTGGAAAGTATACAAAAGTTCCGGAATTGCAATGTATACATATTAATGAAATTGCAGAAATTCTTTTACTTTATAATAACAATGACCAATTTTTATTATTTAAACATAGTGTTTTTACGTGTACTGATTCAGGGGTAAAATTTGATTGATCAACTTTTTTGTTATATATTTAACCCGATTTACAATTTCATTTCATTAGCAAAATGCCTATACATTGAATTAATGGTAAAAAAATGCAATCTAATCTATTGATTTTCAAACTAATTATTTGATTACAAATTTTTTCGATTAAATAAATAATAAATTTTATCGAATAATGGATTTCATTTTGAGATTACAAGATTAAAAAACGGAAAATTCGATGACGTTATCCATACTTTTTGGATCTAATTAATTCTCTTTTTTAATAAGACTCATGTGTCGATCGACTGGTTAAAAGATTTCTTTGAGCCTCATGGTCAAGTTGTAAATATTGAGCTAGATCCACGTGAACTGCGTAACTCGAATTTTCGCGAATCTAGAAGTTGAATCAATTGTTAATTGATTTAAAATTAGGAATATACTATTATCAAATGGTTAAATAATATACTTACAGATTTATTGATTCCAATAACAGCATCGGCACATCTCAAAAAACGTTCGTTGTGACTGATGATAATAATTTGTGTTTTTCTGGCCTCTTTCCATTCTTTGATAAAGCTGACAATATTTTCCATATTATCGTTATCTAGAGCAACATCTACTTCATCAAAAATGATACAGGGAGCAGGTTTGGCACTAGAAAAAAAATTGTATAAATATTATGAGACAGACTAATTTTTTCTTCGTTCTGTTTACCTGTAAATAGCCAAGAAAAGTGCCAAGGCACACATAGTTCTCTCTCCCCCTGAAAGATTTTCAACCTTTGTAAACTTTTTCTTAGGAATTAAACAGTTGAACTCAATGTTGTCAAGATATGGTACTTCGGGATTTGTCATGCTTATAAAAGCTTGAGCAGCAGAATCTTTGTATAAACGCTAAAATAAAAATAATATTTACAGAATTTTATTAAATTCTATATATCTCAAGTCTAGATAACATTTAATACTTTGAATATCTGATCAATTTCCTTCTCGACAGAATTGAAAAATTCGATAAATAATTTTCCCCTTTTGGCTTTTACGTCATCAAACTGTATTTTAATAGTTTGGTATTGTTCTCGTTTTGCTGATAATTCGTTCACTGAATTTTTTATTTTATTTTCAAGCAATTTGAAGTCCTGCTTAATCTATAATGTAACGAGATATAATATAATAAAAACTTATTAATTTGTTCACGTTGATTATAAAACATTTATTTTTTAAACTCACATTTCGATTTAATGGGGCACGTGACTCTAATTTCTCTTCAAATTCTTTGTATCTGTTTTCCAGATATTCGATGTGTTGATTCAATTGATCTTCATCAAGATTTTTAATAGATTCATCTAGCCCTGAAAAATCAAATTCAACATCTTTTTCTTGAATTCCAGATTCACTTTCTGTCTGTTGTTCACTATTCTCAGATTCTACATCCATTCTTGATTGCATCAGCACTTCCTCGATGGTGCCTTTTTGTAATGGTATCTTAATACCTTTTATCTGAAAATATGTGTTGACAAAATATATAGTTAGAAAACTTTTTTGCAAGTGTGAATCTAAAAATAAAAGTTTAACAATGAACAACTTTGCACTTTGTTAATATCTGGTGGATTTCTAAACGCCAAAGTTGATTAATTTTCAAAGTATAAACAGCAACAGTCTTTTCTAATGCTTTAAGATCTTTGTTTGCAGCTGAAAGTTTACGTTCTTCGTTCCTTAATTTTTTCCCAATTTCATCTATCTCACACCTAAGCGACTTCATTTTAGCTTTACTTTCATAGTATTTATTGCGTTCATTTTTGCGATTATCCCACGTTCTCCTTTTATGCAATAATTCGTTGTATTCTTTTTCCAACTCGTCTTTCTTATTTTTGTATCGCTTTATCATTTCTAAATCAGAAAAAAAGTCACTGTATCGTATTATATTGTTCAAAAAATATTCCTACTATACAATACTACATAATCTTCGATACCTTTTGTGTTGCGACTTTTTTCGTAATTTATTTGATTATTGATTTCTCCGGAATGGTTTTCTAATGCCACTTGATACTTGTAACGTTCTTCATACTTTCTATGAGTAAATTAATTTTAGTAAAATATAATTTACCGTATCATTTTTAATAGTATAATTTACCTAACATCGTTTGCTTCGTATTGTCGAATATTTTTTAATCCATATTTTTTACAGAAACTTGTAAAAACTTTATCTTCTATTTCGTCTTCTCGTGCTTTTATGGCGCTTAATTCTTGCTCCATACTAAATAAAGATTTTTGCCATTCATTAACTAAATTACTTGATTCGAGGTTCTCCAATTTCAATTTTAATTGTTCTAAATTATCTTCAATTTCTTTGAGTTTTTTCTCATGATCCTGTATGTAGTGAAAATTATATGAATTTTTATAAATCTAAAAGTGTATATTAATGGAAATAATAACTTGCTTTTTGAGTTGGCTGTAAATATTCCTTCAAACAATAACGCCACTTGGACAATTTTATTAGTAAATTTTCTTTAAGATTTTCCTTGTCTCTAAGGAACTGCTGTAATCTTTTAAGAGATTCATTTTTTTCTTGCTAAAATATAAATACAAGGCTTAATTTTAATATAAATACAGATAGGAAACATAATAGTAGACAATATGCTAAATACTCTTTCTCTTTCAACACGTTCATATTCTTCTTCACTCCATTTCTTAGCTTTTTTTTTCAAATCACTAAATCCACCAGTGAATGTCCCGTCTTTTTTGTAGTAAGTACCATCTAAAGAAACGCACTATATAAAAGAAAAAAACAAAAATACAAATGATTTTAAAAATGATATATTGATATGGATTCTTAATATTTACATTAATTTTGAGTAAGTTTGACAAGCTTCCAGCTTGATCATCAGTTTCGCATATTACAACGTCCCCAATGAAACTTTTCAACACATTATCTATGTGACAGCTATTGACATCCATCACATCTATAGCAAGTTTAGTATGCGGCTCTCTGTTAATATGGCTATAAGTATAGATTTATTAATAAAGAAGTGAAAATAATATAATTGTATATTTTAATGCTTACTAAAGTAGATTTTTATCTAAAGTTTTTGTTTTGAGATTATCTAATGGAAAAAATGTCTCTATAACTGAATATCTATCGCTTATACAGTACTCTTTTAAAAACTGTATACATTTTTGAGCTGTATTGGTTGTATCAACTACTATGCCATCTATTTTTTGTCCCAAAATCTTTGTAATTGCCATTTCATATTTTTGTTCAGTAACCCTACACAACTGTACCAATCTACCTATCTATATAAAATATTTAAATTCTACAGCATTTAATCAATAAAGAAAAAATTTGTCATGCATAAGTAACTTACAACTCCACGTATTTTCACTTGCAATGCATCTATAATTTCAACATTTTTACAGTGCTGGTTACTTTCTTGATGTGATATGTCAAACTCATTTAATTTTTCATTTAAATCTTGAATACTCTTAATGGTATCTTCTATATCAATATGCAATTGGTTTATTTCTTTATTAAGTTTGGCTTCATCTATTTCAGTACTTTTAATATTAGATTGCATTTCTTCAATTTTTTTCACAATATTTTGGTATTTAGAAGTAATGTCTTTCAAAGCTGACTCTTTTATTTTTATTTCGTACAACAATTTTTCCTTTTTATTTTTATACTCATTAATTTTATCTTGTATACTATCATACTGTCTCTGAAGTGTTGGAACTGAGAGATTTTCTTGAGCAAATTGTTTTTGAGCTTCTGCCTTCAAACTGAGATATTTATCATACTGCAAGAAAGTTATAATCCATATGTATCATATCAATTATTAATGCAACAGTAATAAGACGTCGCAATTTACCTGATCATTACTTATATCAATAGAACAAGATTGTAATTGAAACTCATCTATCTCAACTTTAATTTCATGTAATTGTTCTTCAAGATCTTCAATTTTCTTAGTATGTACTTTATGTAACTCTATGGCTTTTTTCAAATACTTATCTACTGTCTTAATTTGATTTTCATAACATAAAATTTTGTGAGCAAATTCATTTCCCTCAGCTTCCTCAGATAAACGCTGAGATTCTTCATTTTCTAATATTTGTTCAATATTAAATACTTCTTTTTTTTTCTCATCAATTTGATCCTTTAATTTTTTTATGTTCTCTTTATTTTCATGTGCTAAATGTTCAGTGATTCTTATGATTTTGTGCTTTGTTTGTTGTTCATTAAGCAAATTGTTAATTAATCTTTTGTAATAATAAAGTTTTGTATAATTATATTCATACTCAACTTCTTCCTGAAATAGAAAAATTAAGAATTTATCCAATCAAATATACTAAGCTAATAAGGAATATAAAAAAAAATTATGCACAAGTTGTTGATTAAGCTCATTATAGGTTTTAATTTCCTTGTTTCTTTGGTTCAAAATATTTTTTTCTTTTTTATGTAATTTTAAAATATTTTGCAAGCTATTAATTTCAGATTCCATGAATTTCATCTTCTTTATCAATCTGAAAGTGAAAAAAGAAATTAAGCTTTATTACTTATGACATATTCATGAATTTTAAATATAAAATTGCAAAGTACCTATCGTATTCTGATTTGTATATGATAGAGTTAGACAAAATCTCAAAAAACTCTCTTCTTTGCTTAGCATTTTTTAGCGCCAAACTTTCAATAGAATTTTGTTGAATTAGGAAATTATTTGCTTTAGAACTAACACTTAGTTGTATCAAAAGTTTCTTGTATTCATTGAAATAAACTGCCTGATTTAAAAAAAAGTAAATAATTGTTGTATAAAAATTTCATAAAATTATAATGAAATAAAAACTTACTTTATTGTTTACCCAATATTCATGAACTGAGTCATTGTAATTAACTGACCTTTTCAATTCTGTCCTTTGATTGTTAATACTTATAAAAGCACTCACCCATGAACTAAAACATTTTATCTAAATTAGAGCTGAATGTAACTTTATCATTTCATCATTTTGTGACTAATCTTAAAATACTGATGTTAAAAAAGCGAAACACTTTAATTAAGTTGATTGAGCTCTTTCAATGAATTTTAATTTGATTGAAGAGAAAGAGTAAACTGGTTTCATTAAAGCGACATTAATATTTCTAATCAAATATATTACCTTGAATATTCATTTTCGTCTGAATTACGGTTATACAGTTCTTCTTTGAGAGATTCAACCGATCTCTTGCTGTAGCGAGGAAAACAAAACACATATTCTACTGCGTCTACGATAGTAGACTTCCCTAGAAATATTCGATCGAAAAAATGTTAAAAAAGTCACGAATTTAATATAAGTTTTATTAAAAATACAAAAAAAGCATAACTCAATCGTAAAAATTCATGGAAAATTGAAAAAATCATCGTAGTATCACAGTAAATCTATACAGGCATTTCGAAATAACGGTTTTTCAAGAATCAATTTCAAACATGTTCGCGCATACTGAGACAGTTGAAAAGCTTAGTAGTTTTGCAGTCAGTTTACACAACATAAATTTCATTTATTGTTTTGCAAATAGCAGTAAAAACGCTATAATATTTAGAAAATTCAATCACAGACAAGATTCATAGACAAGATCGCGATAGAACACGAAGAATTTCCATATCGAAAATGCAATTTCTTGAACAAAATGATTTATATAAAATACCTGTGCCATTTTGTCCAAGTATCGCAGAAACTTGTTTCCACTCGATTGTTGTAAGTAATCGGTAACTTTTGAAGTTTTCCAACTGCAGTCGCGAAAATGTTGCCATGTTATAACTGCTTGAGTAGCTCATCTCGGCTGCTTTAACAAGAGCTAAGCTTGAATAACCCTGTCACAAACAACGAAGATATACTACTCCGTATTATGTACTTTTTCGGACAATCACAACAATGCCCGCGTGTTTTGTCAACAAACGGCGGATGGGTGGAGTGATAGGAGACGAAGTTAACGTCAGTCACAAATTTCGGAGAATTGACTAGACTAGATCAGATAATTGAAAGTTCAGGAATCAGTATTCGTAGTATTTTTAACGAATTACGCAGTAGACATTCCTTAGATAGATTTTTCCGATTCAAATGAACGAATTAAATAATTATAACTTTATTTTCTTGAGTATCTTTTATTACATATTTTGAAATGACTACAAGTAATAATATATAAGTAATGACTATAAGTAATGACTACACGAATCTCGTCTTGTATTGCTGTTTGATGTGCAGTCATGGCATTTTTTAACTGATAACGCGCGCAAAACAATTTTGTTCAAAGTTGAGATGGAAAAAATGTGAAAATAAAATAATAATACATTTAGATATTTGGAGAAATTTCTTTTATGATTTACATATCTTACAGATGACTGCTATTTGATTACAAATATATATACCATTGTTTAATAATTCAAATTTACATCTATTTTAGTTCAATACAAAGTTATTGCAATTAAAATAAATTGTATTTAAGATTTATCTTTATATTTTTAATAAAACGTCACTAAAGAATTGAAGATAATAGTTTTTCAGATATAAAAATTAATAAAATTAATAAAAAATCTTAGTGGTTATTTCATCATATTTATTAAATTGATTCTTTTATATAATATATCACCATCTGTTGCATAAGTATATAATATAAAGAAAATCTTCAAGTACACTAATAAATTAAGTTATAAATTTTCCGTGAGCGTAAAGCTAGCTAAAGTTTAAAAGCAGCTGCGTCAAGTTTAACGTCAGAGAATTACTTTTTACAAGCATTTGTCAGCATGGAAATGAAAATCATTATTTAATAAAATACCCGATGAACAGCAGAAAAAAAATGAATATTCTTGCAAATGTAACTTACAGAGGGGCTCTCAACGCTAAATTGGCAATTACCTAATGTTTGACTCTTCATGTATGCAATACTGGAAAACGTAACGGTCGACAATTTAGCGACACGGCATAGGCATGGTTTCGTACTAGTGCAGTGTTACTTACAACTAGTTCGGAAGCTAATATTACTTTTCGTTACAGTTTCTACCTCTCCAGATAACTTTGTTAATGTTTATGTTTTTAATGCGGAGAATCGATTGTTCAAAGGTGTCAGACCCCAGAACCTGTCAGTTTTTTCTTATTAACAATTTAATTATTTAGTTACAAATAACTTTTGATTTATAACGTAATTATGTTCCATAGCAAAAATAGTGCAAATACATGCTCTTTTCCCATTTAATCGTTTATATCAGCTTCCAATCATACAATTTGAACGTTTGATCATATAAAAAAAAAATACTTTGCCCTTCAAAACGAGACGATTCATGTATCATTTAAGTGATTTAAAGCTGTTTTACAGTTCTCCAAAATTAAATTTTCTATAAAACATACCGATTTCAGTTGTTTATAAAACTGTTTAGCGATAAATACTAAACAATATCATAATATCATATAATTTAACAACCATTCATCTTACAATTAAAAATATCAGCAAGGGTTTAAAATTTTTTTTTGATATGTATTAAATAATGGATTTTGCGATATTGTTTGGTATTTATCGCTAAATGGTCTTGTAAACAATTGAAATTGCTATTTTACGATGGAAAATTCAATTTATAAAAGCTGTAAAACTGCTCCATATCACTTAAATGATACATGACTGCTAATTTTGATTAGCAAAGTATCTTCTCTAAAAGAAACTATGAAACGTTCAAATAGCATTTTTAAAAGCCAAGATACGATCTATCGAATGGGAAAAGAGGATGTATTTGCAGTATTTTTGCATTAATTTGCATGTAACTTTGGTTCTATAATCAATAATTTTTTTAAATTAAAAATGAAAAATGTATTAAAAATTGCCATCAATGTGTTTAATCATAACTTCGCTGTATGTTATAGATAAAAAGTTATTGTTGATTAAACAATTTAATTGTTAAACACAAAAAAAACGACGGATTTTGGATTTGGCACCCTCAAAAAATTGATTCTCCGAAATAAAAAACATAAATATAAACAAAGTTATAAACAAAAGATAGATAAAAATGGCTAAGCAAAATATTGCCAGTTCTCGAACTTATTCAAACTCAAAATCCCCAATTAAATAATTTGAAATACTACGACACTTTGACTTCGATATAAACTACATCACGCTCCTAGGATAGACACTCATTAAATTTTTAGCCCACCACGGTGCTAATTTTAACGTCAACAAAATCGTGTAAAGGAATGTACGCCACTATTTTTTATAATAGATCCGTACTCCCGATAACCATTACATTATAGTGATTGCATATGTGAATGGTGTTAATATTCCCTAGACTACGGTACAAACCCTAATATATGCACGTAGGAAAGTGATAGTTAAACTGTGATTAGAAGTGAAACAGATCGAAATTGTTCGACTTTTTAACATTTCACATTACCAATTATATAAATAGTGAACCATCCATGCTATTCACTGGTATAACATCTCAAATTAACGGTTATTTATAGATTTGTAAAGCTATATAACAATACATGTTCTATGTATTAAATCAAATATACAGAGTTACTTCTATTTTAACGCCTGAATATTTAATCCAGTATTTTTAAAAAGTTGTTTAAAAAATGATACAAATCATAAATTTAGGCATGAAAGTAAATGTTCGAAAAAAATGATTCAGGAATAAGTAATAGATAAGGAGAATGATAAACGGTAGCGAACTGCACCTTACATCTGGATATTTATTTTTATCATTGAAGATTACAGCCTGTAAGTGTTATTTTATCATTACACAATAAAGTCTTTTTAATTATTATGAAAAACACCATTGAAAACATCTTCAAGGAGTAGAAGGAGTTGTAACTTGAATGTACTCTTCCTAATTCTCATAAAGTCACGGACTAATTAAGAAAAAATTTAACTATATTAAATTTATAAACTAGCAATCAACTAAAAAATTAATCCTACTAACTACAATTTTTCAGGTAAAAAATTACTATACAGATGTGATTTCTTGGTACTTGGGTTTTATCCATCATCTGACAGACATACTTTAAAACTGAATTTCAGGTTGCATTAAAAAAAATATGTTACAAGAAGTTGACGCTCCTTTTAACTTTGGCATTTTATATTGCAGCACGGAGAAGAAATTTCATCGTTCTCTCTTGTACTGTTATTTCGTACCATTTTTGTAAGTAATCGATAGTGATTCTTTTACAAACTAAGAGTATTACAATGATAGTGATAATAAAGCTATCATATTATTGATAGTTTTGTTTCTAGTCACCCTGAACCGAAATGTAGCTTATCTCATACACACGCAGTTATTGATCATACATTTCAAAGAATATTCATTATATATTTTAAAGAATATATGCATTTATGGATGTTTCCTTTTTGTTTTTTACTTACTATTATTCTACGCATACACGCAGGTATGTAATGCATTATACGATATACACTTATTAACTGAAGTGTACACAGCAATCGTCACACTGGTTATCAATCGCGATCATAAGGAAAAAGGCATGAGTATACTCGAGTAGCTACAATGCTCTTTGTCAAAATTCAAATACCACAATTAAATAACTAACGCCGGCGCATACATGACAATTAATGCTCGCTGCAATTATTATTGTACACCGTGTGTTATTATTTTTTCTTAAATTGAATATATAATATATGTATATATACGTTAACGTATCGAACATCGCTTTCTGGATTATCCAGATACATAATAACAGTTAGTAAAAACTTGAACGTTGGACTTGTTTGTGTGAGTTAAGACGTGTGATACATTTAGCCACCCTAGCGAAGATACATATGCATACTAACCAAATTTAAAAAAAAGGAAAGGAAAGAAATAAAAAGGAAAAAAATAAATTTGCAAATCTTTCTAATAATAATTTTAACATCAGTACATATTAGTACCCTGCGGTCTCGACATCATTCCCTGTATCCAGTATACCAAACAAACTCCATAAAAACTCGCATACTCTCTCGTCTCTCGTTTCACTGGCACGAAAGGAACAATCGATTTGCTCCAAACACGCTAAAAAAATAATAAATAACAATAAAAAAATTTAGCGGTCGTGACTAGAACGCTCGCAAATAATCCACCCCTTTGCTCTTCTCTGGGTCGGTAAAAAAATAATGTCCAAAGGGCTTTTTTGTTTGTTTTCTATCAAAGAGCATACACGTCATTTAAAAAAATTAATTATCTCTTTTTATCAGCTGTTTTTCAACAAACAAAAGAAATAAATTACTGTTCGCAGTTTGCCTGATGAGCCTGCTTCTCAATCTTACGTGCAAGTTCAGGACTCATGTGTGGATGAGGATACGGCAGCACGGGCTTGCGCAAAATCGTAGGTTTAGCCTTGACCTGCGGCTTGAACTGTTGGCCTTGCATCTGACTTCCACCTGTGAGATGCATATCCGCGAATTTGGCGGCGATCTTCGGCGTCGATCTCGAAGGTATCGGTGATCTTAGCGGCGGATTATCGGATATCTGATTGGAACTGTCCGAGCGAACGATCTCCACGACGTCGTTTTCGCTTTCAGACTCGGCCCCTTTGCCGTTATCAATGGAACTCTTCGTGTTCTTCTTCAGTGTGCATTGATTTTGTTTGGCGAATCTTTCAGCTGCTGTACTCATGTCCGGGGACTCGGGTCCAACGGCGGTGGCGGGTGGGTTACCGCTTGGACACTCCTCGTCGGAGCTACCACTGAGACTACTCGTCGACTGGGACTTTTTACCGAGGTCTTGCGCCGATAGTGGGAGATCCATCACGAGATCGGGTGTGTGCTTCTGCCTCATCTCTCGAAACTCTTGCGACGCACGGAACAGCTGCTTGGGTGTCGGTGGATTGAGTTGCGTGTGCGAGGCAGCACGCCGCTGCCACAACTCCCGATTGGCTGAGAACGTGGTGAGCTCGTGTGCTTCGGCTGCGTCGTCCTGAGCCGAACAGGTCGACGATTGACCTGTTTCGCCAACGCTCTGTGACTTCCAATGCTGCTTCCTCGCTGCGCCACGTTTCGTTTCCAATTCGCCGACCAACTTCTCCAACTCCTCGTCGTTCTCGACAACTGCCTTCGGAGCGTCAGCTGTTGTGTCTTCTTGATAGATCTTCTCGTGGGTGGTACTCGCCGCTGCTTGATCGAGCTTTTGCAATGACTCTTGGTGCTCTTCTTTGCTGCTGATGTTGTTGATCGCTGCGCCTATGCTAGCTACCTTGCTTGTCGACGTCGTTGTCGCTGCATCCTACAAAATCAACGTACGGTTTTTTTAATATTTATTTTTTAGCCATTCATGCTTTTGTGGTCGGAGAGCTGGGGGGGGGGGGGCGATGTGCACATATTGGAATAACTACTCAACGCGAAAAATAATTAATAATCAAAAGTTTCGTTGTTTTCGAAAACGTTACGTAGTAAAGAATGAATGACTAATGACGCTACATTCTACTTTGGACAACTAAAGGGTAAAAATTAAAAAATAAAGATTGTTAGTGTCAGAGTTACCTATATGTGTAACCAACATGCAAAATAAATAAAGAGGACATGCAGAAAAAAACTTTGACTACAGCAAAAGGCAGCGAAATAGATGGCGACAAAAAAATAGATACACAGTGATAAAAAAACCTGCTCTCTACGATCACACAAATATATGACTTGCCACTACATGGTTTTAATAATACCTACATGAATATCATATATGTTGGAGGATTATGCCAACCCTGGCATACGAAGGGAGTTTTTTTTAAGATGCATGAATGTCGAGACCCGCGAAACGGATGCGATTATTATTGAAAAAAAAAACACGCCAGGGAAGATTGATGAAGTTAGTTGTTTGCATGGCGTTCACTTTTTTTTTACAGGGCAAGGCTTTGCTTCTACTCACCTAAGCCCATTGAGAGTCCGTTGCTTAAGTAGCTCCGACAATCGACATTCCCTTTGGCATCGTCTATGGACTGACATTGTTCTACAGGATTCTAGGATTCACAAACCAACTGAACTGTCAAATTCGACATTCCTTAAACGAAATAAAATTCACACACAGAGACAGGAAAAACAAAAAAAAACATAACACAAGAGACAGAAAGTAATAAGGAAAACCACACACAGTACTAAACAGTATTACAATGTTTTTTCTGTTTGTATGTATCAAAACAGTCTTTTTGTGTTTAGTCCGCCAAACAAATGCTCCAGCAGAGATTATCTACGGTATACAAGACTTATATTGTATATTATCTTCGGTTAGATTACGCTGAGAGAGACTAAACGTATATCTGGAAAAATACAGCAACCAACCCAACGAAAATTAACACTGACAACAATTGACAAAAAAAGACGATAAAAAATAAATAGATATAAAGAAGGCACACAATCAAGACTCGCAGGTAATCGAGGCAGATATATCAAGACAGCTTGTATAAAAATAGGCTCATGCAGCAAAAAGATGTATAAATCTGTGTATATTTGTGATTTTATTTACATATAAAAAAGTATCTTACAAAACTAATCGTGTGTGTATGTGTTATAATCACTAACTAGTAAGTTAATGTATTATTTATATTTTTAGAATGCGGGAGTAAATAAATTACACACCGATGTCACGAGTTATATGTTTCTTCCGGATTTCAGTCTTTTCGAATGAGATTATAAAACATTTGTAGATATAGGCAAGAAAGCAATACACATCCACACATAACAAATAAATCGAACATTAAATACGAACTTACATACATTACAATCAAACGCGTCGTATCATCCCGGATACAAAACGAAGCTGTGCGTTATAGCAGTGCAGTGCGCATTCGCCATTTGGGGGGAGGGGGGAGGGGGGTAACAAAATTGAGAATACTTATATTGTGAGTTAAATAAGAATCTACGAGGACTGCATTCTATAGTTTCGAACACACAATACAAAAAAAAATTTAGCACAACAGCCATGCACCATGGGTCGAGAAACAGTCTTTTTCTCTGCCCCCCCCCCCCCCCCCCAAAAAAAAAAACAAGACGGCATCAAACAAGATAAGCGAATAAATGAACAAAAACAAAACCAAAATAGAGTGTTTCAAACGGTCGTTTCCAATACCTCACGACTGATGATAGCTGGTGATGTCGACGATACACATGGCACCATCGAGCTTGCGCTCGAACTGTCTGAGTGCATCATATTTGCAGCCATGGCTGCTTCGCACGCAACTACTGCCGGCCAAATATTAGCGTTGTTGCTTGGTCCCATCAGTGGCGAATTATTACTCGATAACACACTATCGGCCGAGCTCGAAGCTCGTCTTCGCATCGATTCTTCGCTCGATGATGATTTCAAGTCTTTGTCTCGCTCTTCATCTCTGTGAACAACAAATATATTTCCAGTATGACTCACTGAATCAATAGCTTAGACTAGAATTCTCATTTCTTTTTCGAGTGTAAAAGTAAATACACTCACTTGATCTTGAGCATGATGTACTTATCGGGAATAAGACCTTCTTTGCCAGCAAGCGCCCCTCTCCACCAGTCGTTGCTCACTTGCGTGTAGAGCGTCAATGTGTCACCTTTCTTAAAGCTAAGTTCTCGCTCAGATCGTGCGTTAAAGTCAAACTGTGCCGTAGCCTCGAGGTTTTCTGATTCTGCAATATCGTGTATAAAAAAAACATTTATCAATTCCAAGCTCAATGGCTTTTAATGATTGTGCAACGAATTGAAACGTACCATCCTCTGACGGATATACTTCAGAGTCCATGTCCTCTTGTACTTGATCAGTCGGTGAGTCTCCCACATCACTGTAATCAAAATTGATGATGATGACACTTCCGATTTGTATAAATGATTGATGCAACAACAGCAACTATTAGCGAGAACTTACACATCGTCCGGTTCTCGGCTTATGTACTTTTCGTAATGGATACCTCCAATGTCATCGGGGAAGATTTCATCGTGAAGGACAATGATATTTTTAATTAATTCGTTAACTTGGTTCTGATACTGAACTTGGTCCTTGTCTTCTGGCACTGGTACCAACGTTGGTCCGAAACAAATGGCTAAATTGTATGGGTCCATCATATTCTCGTCGGAAAATTCTGAAAGACTACAAGCGAATATTATTACACCTCCGTCAACGTTTCATAAATCAGCACAAAAAAAAATTTTAAAAAAGGAGATAAATAATGCAATGCTTACTGATTGAGAAAAGCAAAGAGGTATCGCATAACTATGACAACTGGCCTTGGAAGACCGGAGATAACTTGTTTCATCTTGGTAACGAAATCCGCCTTCGAGTCGAGTTGCGCAAGTTCCATAAGCTGCTCAAAGTAAATGATGGGGAACAGTGGTTCTCTCAATTCACGCAAATAAAGTTTCAGTACACCAGCCACGCTATTGATGTCCGAAGCGTCAGTCATGTCTGCGAGTGGATCTTCTCCACGCTCGAACCACTCACGGAAATTGTTAATCTCCACTTGTGAACCCGATACTCTGAATATACCTTGGTGATGCAAACCGTAGAGATTGATCACTCTTATGCAACTCTTTATTATCAATGGTATCTCGAGATTGGTACTTTCGAGGTATTCCTCGAGCGAGCCACCGAACAATTTCGGTTGGCCATTCATCTGTAGACGACCGATACGCTTGCGACGCGCTTGCTTCTGCTTGGTGGTCGTGATCGACGGATTGGGACTAGAGTTTGAGCCGTCTAGCAGGCTTTGTCTTATGTACTCTTGCTTGGCGTCTAACCTCGCTATCCTAGACGTTCCCAGAAGATATTCTCGAAATTTCTGCAGAAATGAAATGCAATCAATCCTACTCACAACGTTGTAAGCTCAAAATGCGAACTCACCGTGAGGTAGAACTCTTCTGTCTCCTGTCTATCGGCCCTAAGCTTAATCTGCACCGTTTCGGGGGGTTTAGACGTAGGCATCGCGTTATCACCAAAGTACTTGGAGCAGTCGTAATCCTTGGCCGTGAGCATCTCGAGCAAACTTGCCTCGGCGGTTTCCAGTGTCTTCCATACCTCTTCACTCTCGGTTTTCAATGTGGTCACCCTCTGCTGCAATTGCTGAAGCCGTTGCTCCATCTCTGTGTGTAGCACCTTTTGCAATTCTGGTTCTGGCAACTGAAACCAGGAAAATTACTTCAGTTTCAAAGACGCGGCATTCATTTGAATGTACACGAGTATAACTTACATCGTCACCCCTCTGACCCTGAAACTCAAATTTCTTCGGTATCATGAAGGCCGCGTGATGTGACTCCAGGAAGCGTTGCTTGTCGGCACGTGAATCCAAAGCACCAATTGAAGCGGCCAACTGCTCGGCACCAGCTTGTAACGAACGCTGCCTACCCTCCTCCGCGCTGCAGTGCATGAGCAGTGCTCGGGATATGCAGTTGTGGAAACCAAAATCCATGCACTGAAAATAATCATGCCTTTTCTTTTATTTCTGCTTGCTTACATATGAAAGCTTCGATGACGTCTTATATTTCAATTGAGTTGTTCGCCATCGCTTATGGACGGAAATTCGATTATACGGAATTTTCAGCTGCAACGACTGAATGAGGAAAAAGAGAAAGGAAAGGAAAGAGAAAATGTCGCTGTCTCTCGTCGATGTTATTGGAAAATAGAATAAAATCATTAAGCTCAAGCTTGTTCGATTTCTTAGAGCTGTAGATTGCAAGAACAAACGGGAGCTTGACAATAGTATTGATTATAGACGCGAAAGGAAAACTTGCAAATATCATAGAAGTCACGAGACAAAACAGTAATCATTTTACCTTCTATGCAACTCGATACTGTTGACGGTAGAGCTTCCAATGAAGAGAGAAAGAAAAAAAATAATCCATCATATTATTTTTTTCTCTATCGCTATCACAAGCTCATTTATTAAATATCGATTGTACGCGACATGAACAAGGCCATCATTGCCTCGCTTGCAAAGTTTTTAATATAAAATGGAGAGGTGGGGGGGGGGGGGGGGGGGTTAGAATAAATGGGAAATAACTTACGTCAATGAGATCGGATAGGTCGTCGACGAAGTACTTGTGTATGGTGGTATTGGAAGCCTCAAGGCAGAGTATGTATTCGTTCCTGGCCTTGAGCGCCTTCAACTTCGCCTCAGTGTACTTGTTCTTCCTCTGTGAGCAAATGTTTAAAAAAAGCCGTTGTAAACAAAGGGGAGCGGGAGGCGGGAGCGGGAGCGTGCGCGCACGCACGCACACACGCACACACACACATACATACACAGAGCACAGCACAGCCGAGCGTTAAAGCGGGATTAATCGGCTGTAGGTCGCCTGCATTATTATAAGCTGATAACGCGAGAGATGTTTTTTTTATAATAAATTACAAAAGGCTATTTCACGAGGTTGCTAATTGAGCGTGTTGGAGCACGCGCCTGGTTCCGTGGCGTTCGTCTGCGGATTCGAAATAGGCATCGCCGCCAGGGATAACGAATCGCAGGTACGTCTAGGCGCGCATCAACGTAACGGAAGGCGCGATATCAAAGGGATCGTCGAGTCGGACGGGATGATCCCGCTGAAATCCGGCATAGGTCGCCGCCACGTCGACGGATGAACGGGCGCGCGGAGTTTTGCGAGCCGTCCGCTTAATTACGGCGGAAGCACTGTCGTGGAGACAAAGAGGCTTTGGAAAACAAAGGGCGGGCCTGCCTCTCTCGCCTGGGCTGACGAGAGCGACCCGGCGAAATTAGAAAGCACGAATGACGAACAAACCTTGGCGACCTCCTTTTCGATGAGCTTGTACTTTTTGCTCCTGGCCAATTTCTCCGGCGGCGCGTTGGCCACCTCCAGCTTGGTGCGCTGCTGCTCGGCCACCCGCAGCTTCGTCTCGGCCTGGCGCGACTCGGCCTGGTAAGCCTGATAGGTCTTCATGGTGGTGTGCAGCTCGTGCAGCACTCGCAGAATCTCCTCGTGTGTCTCGTAGCCGATCTCACGGCACTGCTTCGGCAGAAAAGGGCGCTTGGTGAGCGTGTCGCGCGTGGTCTCGCGTCGCGCGAGGCGAGCGCTGTACTCACGCGTCTGTAGATGCGCTGCACGTCCTCCATCACCTGGTTCAGCCGGGAGACCAGGTGAGTGCTGTAGATCTCGGACAGGGCTGCGTGATCCCTCGACAGCGACTTGGTCTCGTTGACGAGTTGTTGCCAGCATGCGTACGACGAGAATAACGGCCACTGCTCACGCCTACGCACACGTTCCATCGATTATTGGCGCGCGTAACTGGCCGGCGACACGCGACGACGACCAGCGGACCATTAGATTCCTCCGTCGTAGCAGGCTTTAACGGGATTGCCTGTCGACTTTCCGCGAATCGTCGACGAGGAAAAGGACGCTCGCCTATCGATCGGCCGTCCACCGCGTGGTGCAGTTTGACCGCGCGAGCGTGCGCGACCGAGAGAAAAAGTCGATAGCGCGCTCAGCGCTCACTCACTTTTGCTTCTGCTCCTTGTGGCGCATCTGAATGCTCTTGGCCATCTTGTCGAGGCTCTTGCTGTAGTCGAGCTCGAGCTCGGCGCGCCGCCTGAAGAAGTCCTGCAGCTCGGCGACGAGCGCCACCTGCGCCTCCATCCGCACGTCCAGGCATCTCAGCTGCTCGTTCAGCTGCAGCCTGATGTCTGCAAGCAAGAAGAAGCGAGCGATCGCTGTTTACGCCGCTCGGCAATGAACTTATCGCGATCGCGCGGCTAAACACTGGAACCCAGCCAGCCGCGGCGGCAGTCGTTACACCCATCGGCGCGCTAAAAATAGACGAGAGCACAAACGTCGAGCTTGCTCGGTCAGTCGCGAGAGAGAGAGCTTTTGTAGGTCAGCGTAGATCAATGGCAGCCAGAGAGAGAGAGAGAGAGAACGAGAGAGCCTGCGGACGCTGGTGAATGGACCGATTGTAGGCTCCGAATGGCGGTATAAACAAATGCGCCTCCGCAAGATTCATGTTCCCACACGCGGGCACCAGGAGGCTCGCTCCTCCTCTTGCCGTTTTTCGTCCCCTTGCACATTATCGATTGTTGCCTACTCGCTTTCGCTTGCTATGATTCACCCTCGGCACGTGCGCCCGTGCAGCCTTCGAGCGAGCAGGGAGGGAAAAAACCAACGGGACCCACGGGCTGCGAGCCTGTGTATGCACACACCGTGCACGATGCGAGCTTTGCCGAGGCGGCAATCGTCGCGTCGGAGCGCTGGCCGACCGGCGACGTTCGCGACAAACGCGCCTGTGATCGATCGCGGCGCAAACGACGTCAGCTGCCGACTCGCGGTCCTCCGATAGTCTCCGTTCGATTTCCGACGGCGGCGCCGGCTGCCTAATAGCTGCGCGTTCGCGCCGATTAATTGGGCCGAGCGATGCGCGAACGCGCCCTTGGTAGCGGCTCCCGACACGGCGAGAGGAAAGAAGCATTTGGGATTCAGATGTGTAGCGCGCACGTCGGGCCTCGACCGAACAAAGCCTCGCGCGTATCTCTTTATCGGGCCTTTGAAAAACGACGTACGCGCGCGTCGATGCATTTCCTTGGAAGAAAGCGGCCTCACAATGCTATCCGCGACGCATCTGGCTCTCGCTCTCTCGCTCTCTCTCTCACTCTCTCGTACATAACAAAGCCCGTCCGTGCGGAGAAGACAGACAGCTGCGGAGGAGCCCCCGCGTGCGTGCGTGCGTGCGGTGCGTGCGTGCGTCTGTCGAGGCGACCGCTGTCGCGCGAATATCGCACGCACAGGAGGAGTCAAGGGCCGAGCGGTCCGAAAATAAGCTTTCGCGGCGCCTGGGTCTCTGCCCTTTCGTTGCGCGACGCGGAGGTACATGTACGTCTTCGCGCGCTTCCGGGAAGCCCGCTCGGCGATTGCTTTCTTGGCGGCGACCGTTGTTCCTTCCTTTTCTTTTCGAACGCAGGAAATTATGTTTTTACTGAAAGGTTTAAAAAATTGGAGGCGTTGGCTGTCGCATTTACGTCGCGTCGTTCGCTTGGGTTTTCTTTGCTTTTGTTTCGCGAGCGCGGTTTTTTCCGCCTTGATTTCGTTTTCTTTTTTCTTTCGGAGCGACAGCCGAGCGCAATAGATCGAAAAAATTGTAAAAACGAGAGAGAGAGAGGGAAAAAAAACGCTTGGACGCGAACAGTATTCCAAAAATGACGCGTCTTGCCGTATTATCGACCGGCTACGGCCGCGAAATTGTCAGCGCTCGAGACGTTTTCGCGCCTATAAATACTCGCGAATGTTTAACAGCTCGGAATTGCGAGTCACGTTCGGAAGCCGCAGACATCGGTGGCGCATCGATGCGATCCGCTGAGCCGTCGCAGCGCAAAGTTCATTAGCACTCGCTGGCGACGCCCGGGGGAAGGCGGAAAAAAGAAAACCGCGCGAGATCCCTCGACCGATCGGACAATTATTCGCGGCGTCGCGCGCTCTCGCGACTTTCACGTTCGCGGCAATTTTGCCGAGCAGTCGTCCTCGTTTGCGAGCGCGATTGTAAATCATATCGCGCGAGCGCAGAGATAAAAGCGCGCAGCGGTCTCTTCCTACGACGCGCGCGTTAAAATTAGGAAAAGCCCGAGGAGGCAGTCGGGCGGCAGTCAAGGTAAAAATAATACGCGCCTCGCGCTCGCGCACGTGACACGCTCGCGCGTGGGCTTGCGCCAATTCGGCGGCGCGCGCGTACATTACGTAAAGAGCACCTCGCCAGCGTTTCGTCGTTATCTCGGCTCGCGATAGGGACGGCCAGCAGCAAGCAGCATTTCCTCGCTTCCGTCATCCGTCACGGCGAGTAACGCGCGCGTGCACCGTGGTCGATGTGCTGCTTCGACGACACACTGCGCGGACGCGCGATCTCGAAGCCCACGGCGGGTGTACGCGTACCTTGGTCCAAGTTTCGCGCTCGTGGTGATGCCGGTGGGCGATCTTGAACATCTTAACGAGCTGCTAGACAGCCGCTTTATCGAGGCAGCAAACACGCTCGACGCGGCGCAACGTCGAAGGCGACACTGAACCGAAAGCGCCAGTATTTGGCAGAAGATAACGACTCCGAACTCCCTCTCTCCTTTCCGCGACTTTATTGGCCGCCTTCTACCTACATAACGGTCACGGTATCGCTCGGAACAAAGCGCCGTCGCTCGCGACTAAAAATCGGCGGCAGCGCACGCTTCGCGTTGCACCTGTAACTCGTGGCTGCGCAGATAAGCCGCTGTGGAAAAGAGAAAGGCGCTGAAAAATAAAATGTATACGAAAAAAAAAAAAAAAAAAAAAAAAAATGAAAGAAAAAGGAAGGCGGGCACGGAGTGAAGGGATATCTCCGCATGTGTACGTATAAACACAGTGTAGGGCTTTGTCGGAGTGTACCCGCGCACGAGACGCGGATTGACGCGAATTAAGCGCAATTACGGTTACTTTAACAACGCACGCGTGCGACTTTCGCACAGCCTACATCTTCTTCGTCAATGCTTTTAGGCGTATACGTTTGATTCGTCCAGGACTCGCTGTCTCTATTTGCAGGCGCCTCTCGTGTAACTGTTTCGCGGTCGAGAAATATGGATTTATGGCGAGAGAGTGAGAGAGAGAGAGAGAGAGACCGATTTTATCTTGTATTCGCAAGAGGGGTTTATCTCGAGCTTTTGTGCGTCGCGCGGGAAATATAAATTATTCTTCTCGATCGTACGCTTGCGGAAAGAACATATCATTTACGGGCTCTTTCAATAATCTCTTCGGGATTATTGAAAGTGTCTGGTGTCGTGGAGCGCGCGAAACGCGCTCATCTTTCATTTTTACTAATATTTATTTTCATGTGCTTGAATTAAATTACAATTATTAATAGACGAAATTAACAATTATAAAATACACCACATCATCAATCAATTCTGTTTTCACATGGTAACATCCGTCCGTATTAATTGGCAATTAATTTTTGTAATTGGAATTACTTAATGTAAAACATCGATTTATGATTATCTTTATTGTTGATTATATTCATTCGAAACTAAACTTTATAACATAAATATTTCATAAGTTTATGTCCTGAGAATAAATGTAGTTAAGCGCATTAAGATTATTTTACCATATTATTTGAAGGTTAGACCGTTGGATGAATGTGGATTTTATTCTTTCTCTGATGTCTACGAATTGTCTTATTATTTATATTCTCAATCAGTTGATGATAACTCGAGCTATTTATAAGCACCAATTTGCTACTTTTGCTACCAATTCGCTTACATACCCATACATACTGTTACAAATAGTTTAGCCAATCAAATCACGAACTGGCTTCACTTTCAGACCCATCCCTTTGTTTATAAATATAAAAGGAAAGGATGCAATGTTAACGTAAAATCTTGTGAACTACATCACACGAAAAATTTGAATACGAAAATGCTCACCACGAACGGTACTTCTCTTACTCTCTCCTTTTCCCGCGTAGATACGGTGAAAAAGAATACGGGCTTATCGCGAGATCTTGTATTACCGCTCGGAGAGAGTAAGAAAGAGAGATAAAGGTTGAAGCGACGCGTCAAACATCGTAAAAGTGATTGCATGTCATTGTAAACACGAGCGCTGATAATGCGCTAATAGGTAAGCCGAGCGGCAGAGGGAAAGAAAAAGACACGACGCTCGGCCAACTGCGATCGAGCACATGCACCGTTCGCCTCCGACTGCCGATGAAAAGACTCGGTGGTCGTCCTCGGCTCGAATCAGCGGGTCGAAAATCGAATTGGCGATCGCCGGAAGCGCGCCGGCTCGCATACTCATCGTCCGGGACCGTCCGTCCCTTGCCGTCCTCCTCCCGTCGGCGGCGAACATCCTTCCGGAAAATGAAATTCAGCCGTGATTTATTTATTCCCGCGCGGTGTTTGCGCGCCGAAACGGAAGTCTCGTCGGCGTTGATTGGCTCGGATTGGTTTAATGGCCAAAGCCAACAAGTGTTACGAGCCTTTCGCTCGCCTCTTTCTCGGCCCCTCCGCGCGCGCAGCGTCAAAAAGCTGCGCATCCACTCGAGCGCGTCTCGAGTGCAAGCTGCGGCGGCCCGTGTGCTTAGCGCGACGTGCGACAACGGCCAACCCCCTCGCGCTACGCGATACGCCGCTGTTGTCGCTCGGAGCTTTTTGTTGACTTCTTTTTGCTCCTCTCCTTTCGCCCGACGCCGCGCCGGAGATAGTCGCGACTGACACGGATCGCTACTTGGCTTCGCGAGCTCTCGGCCAGCGCACGCCACGCGCCCGACAATTTATTCCGAAAGCCCGGCCGCTCATTAGCGATCCACGCGCTGCTTCGACGTTGTTTTTCCCTGCGCGCACAAGTGGACTGGACGCGCGCACTCGATGACGAAGGAAAAAAAAGCCGTCCGTCCAATTTGATTAGTCATGCGCAGGCTCTCTTTCGAGCTGCAATTCGAAACAGATTACTCTTAAAAGCCCGCCGTATACATCATCGTCTAAAGCGAAGCTATCGCTAATTCTCTCTGTCTCTCTCCCAAGAACAAAAGAAGAAACGCTGTTCAGCGTTGGAGAATCTGTGTCAGTGAAATATTTCAATCGCGCGTCTTTCGAAAATAAAGAAAAATCAATGTCTCAATAATAGCTTCCTCGGAACAAGCGAATGAGATAGAGAGAGAGAGAGAGAGAGAGAGAGAGAGAGAGAGACAGAGAGAATAGCGTTCCGCCATAATTTCCGGTCGTTCCAGCAAGTGTTTTGATAAGGCTGTCGCGACGCTGCAGTGCAGCGTTTAATCCGCTCGGCGCACCACGACAATAAACGCGTAGCCCCATTCGCGAGAAACGTTAGATGAGCCTCCTCCTCGTAACAGCCTTGGTGCTTGATTGAGCGGCGCGCGTTACGACACAGCGCGGTTCGTAACGGGACAAGGCAGAAAGGCCACAACGAGGCGTACGCACGGGGTTGATGCAGTGTGCGCGTGTGTACAGAGTCGGGCGTGACCTTCACCCACACGCATACACAACGCGCGCGCGCGCGCGCGCACCCACGTACTCACGGGAAACTGACCTGGGAAGACATCCTTGGTGTCGGCGCTAGCCGGATGGATCCAGCCGTTCCTCTGTTGTATGATGCACTGAAACATCGTCGTTTCTCTGTTTCGCACGAAATACCTCAAGCACACTGTCAACACGCGCGACGGCCGCGAGTCGGGAGCGACGGCGACGACCACCACGAAGACGATGACGGCGACGACCGAGTAGCCATAGCTGCAGCAAATGGCGGAGGAATGTGCACACCGCGAGAGAACAGCGCGTCGTTTCTCTCTCTCGCTTATATCGTTCGTAGGATGCGATCGCGTTTATACACACGCACGCACACGCACACAGAGACCGACACACCGCGACGGGGTTGTTGTAAAGTTACTTTACTCGCAGCCGGCTGGAATCGAACTGGCCTCCGCGAAGCAGCAGCAGCAGAGAGCCGTCGGTCGTCGCCAGGCAACCGGATTTTCAGACTCTCTCTCTCTCTCTCTCTCTCTCTCTCTCTCTCTCTCTCTCTCTCTCTCACCCCCACCCGACAAGGCAGCCGCACAGCACTCTCTGCTGCCACGGCTGCTCGTGCGTGCGATGCCCGTAGCAGCAGTAGTAGTAGCTTCCTTCCTCTCTCTCTCTCTCTCTCTCTCTCTCTCTCTCTCTCTCTCTCTCTCTCTCTCTCTCTCTCTCTCTCTCTCTCTCTCTTTCATTCCTCCCCTCGCGCTCGCGCACGCACGCGAGTTGGCCAGCGCGCGGAGTGCACGTGAGAGAGGGGAACCCCCTTTGTGTCGTCGCTTACAGCTGACCCGCGTCCGTCACTTTTTTGGATTCGGTTCGTGTTGGCGCGGCAGAGGCAGAGAGGGTTGATTGTTCCGCGGTCGACACTTGAACTTGAGGCGCACAGCGGCGCCGAGCAGAGGCCGACAAGCCACCGATTCGCAAATCTTTTGTACGTGCAAGGAAAGAGAGAGAGAGGGAGAGCTTGTCTCGCGCCACGCCGGCCGAGGATTCGCGCAGCTGTTGCGTGAGTGTCGTTGCGGTGCTCGCACGTGCACGTGGCCCTCGATATATATACACATTGCACATGCACCGACGCGCGGTAGGCGCGGAGCGAGGGATGCTGCTGACCCGAATAACGTGACGAGGTGAAAGTGTTGCTCGCGCGCTCTCGGCTTACTTTCTCCCAAAGCCAAGTTGCGCGTCAAGCGTTCGAGAGGTCAAAGAACTTGCACGCACACCGCGTCCCTTTGGCCTCTAGGTGTGCCTAAGTGGACGTGCGTACAAGTAACATTCCAATTTAAGACGTACATGCGTGTGCGTGCGGGCACTAAGGAAGCGTTCGTCGTCGTTGCGACGAGACAACGAGAGAGCTTTTTACCGTCGTGCAGCGCAACGCGTTTGTTTCTGTTGTTTTCGTTAATGATACAGACTGGTGACCTGCGCTATATATGTCGCGAAAGGAGACAGAGAAAAATGAGAAAATTATGGGAGCTTAATCGTATCAAAGATGCGCTGGTCGAATTTTATTCGATATACATGCATGTGTATGTACACGTACACACACACACACACACACACACACGCACGCACGCACGCACGCACGCACGCACGCACACACACACAGACGTCAAATAACGAACAGAAGAAAGCGACCGTTGATCCATTTTAAGTTCCTCGCCACGATAAATCCTACTTTGTTTTCTTTCTCTTTTTTTCTTTTCGACGGCTGCTGCCTGCTGCGCCTTGCAAGGAAAAAAAATCGAAGCGTAACACGATGAGTGCGTGAGAAAAATTATGACGATGAGTAATGTTAAATAAAAATAACACTATCAATCAGGGGATATTAAAAATTTCAACTCGAATTGTTTCAATGGTGTCCATGTGGAACAACAAACGGCACAACCTACTAACTTATATAAATTTCCCGAAAGTGAAAATGAATTATTTTCATCTGAACTGTTTTTGAAAAATGGACCGGCCTCTCGAATAAAAGCGTTTATTTTCCCAACCCCGTTGCGCTTACGGTACACGACAAAGTTAATTAATATCGATCGTTCTCGCTATCGACAAAACGAGAACGAAAAAAGGAAAAGAGGGAGACATGTACGCGCGAACCCTTTAATTGTGAACGAATCGACCGATCGATCGACAAACCCATTGTTAGTATACCTTGGACCTCTCGGTACACATACACACACGTACACACACGTTTTCCGGTGCGTAGTCGCGGGCGTCGCTGAATATTAGATGCGTTCGCGAGATTAAATGGCAAAAGGCTCGGGGGATTACACCGGATAAAAAAAGACAATGTAACGCTCTAGTCTCCGGGCATCATTTGTCGTCTGTCTATATATACTGGCGCGTATGAGTATGTGTATGTGTGTATAAGGGCTAATCTCAAATCTCACTCAACCTCTTTTTTTATTTATTATTCATTATTCATTTATGCATTGGAATCGAAATGGTAATCGCGTCTGTAGCATATCCAATTTCAAAATCTACGTGAATTCTCTTTTTTTTAATTAAGGGTATGCGACAAAGGAAATGTACTTCTTTGATCGTCGTTGTTCATTTTTTTTCGCAAATTTTCGTCTCAAACAATGTCAATAGAAAATAAAATATATAGGTCGTATTGAAAAAACTTTTAAGTCGAATCAATAAAATATAATTTCATAAAGAGAAAGAGAAAGATACATCTGTTCCTGAAGACACTTGAAAAATGACTTTTCGATAGTCAATCGTCGGAGCGCGAGTGAGACACCTCGTAACCAGCCGCACGACAACGACGAACGACGAACGACGAACGACGGCAGGCGGCGGCGGCGGCGATGGTAATTATTAACGAAAAAAATGAACAACGCTTTGACAACAATATTGCCGGAGCGTAACGGCTGTTTTACGAGTCTCTGTCGAGCGATTATCTAAGAGGAAAAACTCTGATCAACGAAAAAAGGAAAAATCACAGCCAATAGTCCATTCTCTTTCCACTCTCACCTCTCTCGTCACTTAATTAAATTCCACAACGTTCTCCAGAATACTGCCGTGAATAGGTGAGCGCCAATATACTTGCACACTTTGTTAAGCACAACAGGCATTCATGGCGTTAATCACACGAGCGAGAGAGAAGGCGAATAGGTGACTCGAAAGCGAAATTCTCGTATAAGTATTCATGTTGTCAGCATTTTTCTGCAACAAGTGCACAATCACACGCATACTCAAGGTTGGTTTGCTTGCTTGCTTGCTTGCTTGCTTGCTTGCTTGCGTTCGCTCTCCATTCGGCTATTTTTGACTAAATGCTTCGAAAGAGAGAGAGAGAGAGAGAGGAAAAGAGAGAGAGAGAGAGAGAGAGAGAGAGAGAGAGAGAGAGAGAGAGCGGAAGCGGCAGTCTTTTCTCTCTCTCTCTCTCTCTCTCTCTCTCTCTCTCTCTCTCTCTCTCTCTCTCTCTCTCTCTCTCTCTCTTACTGGGGCGAAGGCGCACAAAGTTCTCCGATCTGCACGGCCTTGATCATTTCTGCTAAATGTAGCCTTTGTGTATACTATGCTACAACAACTTACTGTTAAAGACAAGCAGCTTCCTCGTGGAACCAAGTCGTTTGATCGGCGATCTCACGCCATCAACCTCTTCCTCGTCCATGGTCTACGTCCGCTGATGTTATCGTTTTTTTTCTTTTTTCTTTATTAGTTTATACACCACAGAAAGTCAAAGTAGTGACAAGAGAACACTCACACGCGGTGGCGCATCGCGACTAACTATTCTTGGACGCCGTCGAGTCGCCGGCTTTACTGCCTCTCGTATGTAGATATATGTGTGTATTAATATACCAGCGAGCGAGCGAACGAGTGAACGTGAACAAACGAACGAGGGGGGGCACTAGCGCAGCTGCCGCGCGCCGTTCACCAGAGCCGACGACTACCGTTGAGAATCGCGCCAACGCCGCAGGACGCATGACGATAGGAGGATCGTTCCGCGCCGTTCTATACTAGTGAAAGGGGCACCCCGCAAGCGCCCTCTTCGCTGACCTTGAAACGATGCATTAGCCATTATATGTGCCAGTGATCGATTACTGTGAAAGCTCGCCGGATAAGTGGTGGACAATGTCGCGCCCGCCTATACTCTTTCTTCAAGATAAAGTAGGGATGTGCTTGACTGACAAGCGTCAATCTACGAGCTTTTTTGAATTCAATTCAATTTTTGGTATAGGTGCTTTAATAATCAATTCAAAATAATTAATTCATTAATAAAATATTTAATCTTTTGTTTTTGAAATGATTTTATTCAGCTTTTTAAAAATTTTCATGAAGATAGTTATATTTTTTTAACTTTTTTTGAACTTACAGTTGATGGTCTCTATGACAACTTTTATCATCACAAATGCTAGAAATCTGCTATTCATTAGGCAAAGCTATTCTAATTGAACGTTTGTTGTTTTTTTATAAGAATGGAGTCAGATAGACCAAGTGTAAGTAGATTTAGTGAGAGGCCTATTACTCGCATGAAAAGAGAGAAATCACCCAGTGAAAAATCAGTCTACTCTGAGCGACCTACCAGTGCAGTGTCAAAATCTTACAGTAAAATAGAGCGACCAACTTCTCGCAGAGGTGTCAAGACAGATATTACTGAGTTTGGCATCTCTAGACCTCCTACAAGTAGAAAAAATACATTCTCCAGGCCACCCTCTGCTGGTATGACAGCTAACAGGCCATCAACTCCATCACGAGTTAATACCATGAGCTCTGCAAATTTGACTCGTGTGAATTCTGCTATCCTGAGGAATCCCATAATTATTGATAGACCAGTAACTCAACAGGGCTTGGTTGGTATTAGACCTAGTTCATCAAGAAGTTCAAAACCAGCAAGGTATTTTGATATTTAGTTGTTAATATGATTAATAATTTTTCAAGTAAAATTTGTATTTTCAGACAAAACCAAGAGAGAAAGTATCTTGAACATATGCTGAATATTAGAATTCGAGAGCTTATCCAAGATATAGAGAATATAACTATTGAAATTGAAAGGCTGAAACGGTTGAATCAAGATCAAAGAGTAACAGATCTTATTGGTGAACTGTCAAGTCTTCAAAACCAATTAGCTCATTGTAATCTGGTCTTAGAAAAATTATTGTCTGGTGTAGACAGAGATGAAATAGAATTGGAAATAAGAAAATTAAATAGCTTAAGTGATAATACAAAATCAGAAATTGAAATTGTTTTTGAAAAACGTAAAAAAGCTGACTATAGGTTGCATGATTTGAATAAGGAAATTGAAGGAATACAGAGAATGGCTGACAATATTGAAATGTTGGATCCAGAGTCTAGAAGACGATATAATGAAGCTCTGAACATGAAAATTGAACTCCAGAATGAAATTGAAAAATTGAAAATTGAATATGATCAACTTTGTGCTCCAAATGATAGGCTAAACAATATGACTGTTGGATCAGTAAGTAATATTTTTTTTTAAAAAAATATAAATTATGATTATGTAAATTTCAAAAATATGCTTTGCAGATTCAAAAGTCTAATTTTATACCTGAGCAAAGTTCAGATATGCTGGAAGATGATAACAAGAATCAATCTGAAAAGAAAACAAAAAATAACAAAAGTGATAAGGAGGGAGATATCATGGATATTTTTAAATCAACATTTGAAAAAAATAAAGCAGAGGAACTTGAAAAATTAAGTCATTTGGAAGAAGAAATTTTAAAACATCTTGAAAGAATATCCAATAATTTAAATGATAATGCAGACAATGCAGTACTAGAACCTGAAGAAATGGATATGTTGAATACTTTGATGGATCAGAATTTTGAAAATAGAAATGACAAGAATTTAGATGAATTGAGGCATGATAGTTTGAAGCTTAAACAAACTTTGAATAAATTAGAAATACTGGAAACTAAAATTAAAGTTCAAATGTATGACTCTAAAGAAAGAGCCATATCTATAGATGATAACTTGGAGAATAATAGGGATATGAAAAACGAACACAAAGAATTACCAGGATCAAAAAAGGACTTAATGGATTTAAGTAAAGGAAATGTTGACTCCTTGAACATTGACCACGAAAAGTATAATAAGTTAAAAGAGAAAATTAAAGAAAATGAAATGTATCGTGTAATAAGTATTCTAGAAGATAAGTTGAGAAGAGTTACAATGGACAGTGATAAATTTCCACCTATTGAAGAACAAGAAGAAGACTTGGACCATTCATTTTTAGTTGCAAAACTCTTTTCATTGACAAATCAGTACAACAGTATTTTAATCAATGAGATGAAAAGAAGCTACTGAATGTAAAATATTGTGATGTAAATGTACGAGGGAGGGTCAATAAATCTTTACAAAATCCAAGAGATGGCGCTCGTCACGCTTAAATTATGATGTTTTTGGCAAGCAATACTAACTAAATATCGTACAAAGTTTCAGCTCGATTCATTAAGTTGTTTTTTTGTGAGCGTTAGTTGAACAAAAAGTTATTGATTTATTTGAAAAATGGAAAAAACAGAGTTTCGAGCGGTGATAAAACATTTTCATTTGAAAGTCTTTACACCAAAAGAAATGACAGTTAAGTTGAACGCCGTTCATGGCAAGTCTGCCCCTGTGTTTAAGACTGTTTATAACTGGGTAAATGAATTTAAATGCGGCCGTACAACAATAAAAGATGAACCTCGTTCAGGACGCCCCGTAGAAGTGAGTACGTCCGAAATGGTACAAAATCTACGATATGGTGTTGAGTGATAGAAGATTAAAATTGCGAGAATTAGTTGAAGCCACAGGGGTATCAAAGAGTACAATCATTTTAATTATGCATGAAAAATTGGGGATGAAAAAAATATCAGCAAGATGGGTGCCGCGTTTGCTCACTGTTGAAAACAAACGAACCCGCGTGGTCACCTCTGAAGCTCTTTTGGCACGCATTCGTCGTAATCCGGAAGACTTTTGACGTCGACCCGTAACTGTAGACAAAACATGGGTACACCACTACACTCCTGAAACCAAAGAACAGTCCAAACAATAGATTACCGCAGGAGAACCAGCCCCAAAGAAGGCAAAGACAGTAAAGTCAGATGGCAAGATTATGGCCACGGTTTTCTGGGATGCGTATGGAATTATCTACATCAACTACTTGGAAAAGGGCCAGACGATCACTGGACAATATTGTGCGTCATTATTACGTCAGCTGAAAGAAAGAATCAGAGAAAAAAGTTCTCACTTGAACAAAAAAAAATGCCTCTTTCTTCAAGATAATGCTCGAGTTCACACGTGTGCAGTTTCGATGGCAAAAATTAACGATTTAAAGTACGAATTAATTGACCATCCACCATATTCGCCTGATTTGGCTCCCAGTGATTTTTTCTTATTCCTTAACCTCAAAAAATGGCTTGCCGGACAACGATTCACGTCGAATGAAGAAGTCATCGCCGAAACAAATGCCTATTTTGGGGGTTTTCAGAAATCATATTTTTCTGATGGCTTAAAAAAACTGGAAGGCCGTTTAATAAAATGTATCGTCATTCAAAGAGATTATGTTGAAAAATAAAAAAAATTACATACGCAAAACTTTTTTTTCCTTCTTTTTGTAAAGACTTATAGACCCCCCCCTGTATTTTATACATGTGACTGAAAATTTTGATGGAGTGAATCTCGTTAAAGTAAGTGAAATCTCCATAAAAACACTTGACGAAGTAAAAAGTTGTTTTTTTTTAAGTGTTTTATATTACACTAGATATATCTAAAACAAAATTTATTAAATTTCCCATTTTACAATTCATTCTGTTAATTTCGTTTATTTATAAAATATTAAAATTCTAAACTATGAAAAGTTAATTATTGTAAAAATTACAAAGTAATGAAATCTATTTAAAAATAGCAAGGATGCAGAAAAATTAGTTTCAGACTTTTTATACAAATTAAATTAATATGTTAAATGATATAAAAAAAAATCACTTTAACAAAAAATTAAAAAATTCTGTATATGATATTCTACACTACAACTTTTATTCAGATATATTCAATTGTATGATATTTATTTTATATGGATCGAGATGTTAGTTAAAACTTATAATAAATTTTTGAAGGTAATGAAAATAAGATATATGATATTCTTCCCGGAACTTTCATATCGAGTGAATAATGTTGCTTTGACATATAAAAATCTATATTACTAATTATTACTTATTATTTACTAATCATTCCCTTGCATGCTTAAATTTAATTTATAGCTGATAAAATAATAAGAATGTTATAGCCGGTACATACAAAAATATATTAATAATAATAACGGCATGTAAAATATAATTATTAAAAAAATTGTTGTTTTTGTTATAATCAATAGGTCAATTTCTCATTGACGAATATAATGATAACAGTTCCAGCAAAGATATATATCTTTTAATATATCTTTACATTATATACATCTTCAAAAATTTATTAATGACTAATTTTTTACATCCGGGCCATTTTTAAATCGATTTCACTACTTTTAAAATTTTTAACAAATTATATTGAACAAATAAGGAGATTGAAATAGAGTGAATTTAAAATTAGGAAATGTATTAAATTTTCTGTCAGATGTACTTAGCATAATATAAAACAATTTGAAAAAAGCTAGGATAGTTATCAAGCAACTTTTTACTTTGTCAAAAATTTTTTACATTACATTAAATATATGTAGTTTTATATCATTGTTATATTTAATTATAACGTAATTGTAAATCAATTTTCTATGTTTTATACCAAATATCTCTTCGATAATTACCATTTTGTACAACTTTTATGTAAAACGATTCATTAAAATTCGTACTTGAAACAGTATTAAAAATTATTTTAATTTTGAAAATTAGAAAGAAATTATATATAAATATAATCTATATAATAGAATATATACATCATAGAATACGAATATCTCTATATTTGCTACGCGCGCGCGCGCGTGTGTGTGTTGTATGTATATAGTTTAGTAATTTATTTATTTGAAAAATACTGTTAACTCAATAATTTAAATTGGTCATTGTGGAAGTTCATATTATTTTGCGAAGTTAAGAATATATATACTTGTTGACTTGATTCACGCAATAAATTACTTTATGATGAGATTAACGATATTCTCAAAAATGCTTACTCAGCAAACAATATTTGTGACTGTTACGGATGATATCTCATTTAAATTTTTAAAATTAAAATGATTTTTGATAATGCATGTTAATTGCCAATTTCTTAATAAACCATTTTACATAAACATAATTTGACTCTCAAAAATTCTACAAAACCAGAATCGAAGTAATATTTTGTTACTAACATAGAACTTTGACTTGTAATTTAGCATTACAGTACAATTAAACATAGCGATAACAAAACTTACGTATATTTAATGCAAAATATTTCGGTGGAGGCAAACTGTAGCCTACTCTTGCGGCTTGTGCTACTACCGATAGAGGCGCTGATGCAAACATTTCCAATCTCAATTTATCGGCGT